TTGTCCTGTCTTTCTCGTCCTTGAGAGCTCCACGGAGGAAATTCCACGCGTGGAAAGTGAGCTCTACTTTGTCGTGCGGGTAAAACCTGGACAGTTGGACTTTGCTCTGCCCACTGTTTACGGGGATCTCCGCCCCCCCCTCCTCGAAAAGCTCAAGAAGGTTTGCTGTGTTCGCTGCCATCAAAAAATCCTCTAGCCACGAAGAAAAGCTCTTGGCGTCTCCGCTGAACGTGGGCGCTGTGTACTTCACGCTTTGGTATCCCACGCTCGCACTACCGAAGACAGCAGCACCACTTCCCATGGCGCTGCTGAAACAAGCTTGATTGTGAGCAGCGGCTACTCTCACCTCTTGGGGGTCTGAACCCCCTACTTCGCCGCTGTGTCGTCCCGAAGGACCAGACTCTCTTCGCAGGTCCGCTGCCTGCGCGCTCCCGTCGTACTGCACGGTCCCAAAATGACCTGCAGTGCTTGTGGCGACGCTCTCCACGGCGCCGCCGCTTTCAGCGGCGCCCTCCGTGGCACCGCCGGACTTCTCCTCTATACGTGCAGCAAGTCCTCCGACCAGCTGCACCAGCTGGCCCATTTGCTGTGTCAGCGAACTGATCTCAGACCGCATGCTGTCGATCTGCTCGCTGCTACTTGTGTCTCCTGCCTGCGAGCCGTCCGGAGTGGTCCCTTCGGTTCTGCGGCCCGCCAAGCACCCGCCAGCACACGCACTGCTGGAGAGGGAGAAAGCCAAGAAAGCCTGTACAAAAATGTACTTGTTTGTAGTGCTTGGATATGCGTCCGATCTATCCGTCCTCTGTGGGGGACACGCGTATGGGAAGTATGGGTGTGATGGGTATATATGCGGTTGTGGTCCAAGTACGCCCCCCCGAGAGCACACGGTGGTGTGTGCTCCTGGCACTTGCCTGAGGGGCTTGCGTGTCGGATATACAATGCATGAGTCATTTTCTTCATCTGCTGTTCCTGGGATAACATAGTACCCGGTCTCGACACCAGCCTCTGAGGGCGGCAAAGCGCAACGAACATACCACGAAAAATAAAACTATCTCGCACTCTCCCGAGGGGGGGTAGGGAGGGGGGGGGGTTAGGTGTACGGGATTATTTGTTTTGTGCGCCCAACAAACAACGGTTCCAAAAAAATATATCATTTTGAGCCGACCAACCGGTGGATGAATAATTTTCACCTCCAACTATGCCCCTGCTTACCGTAGGTGTAAAAATTGTGCACCATTCATTGAGGTCTCGGCGAAGACCTCGGTTTTGTGGCATTCTCCAGGTCTTCACGAAAACAGCGAAAAAGAACGGGGGGCCGGTCCCTCTCGCCTAAAATACCCGGAGGTGCGCGGCAGTTTGACAACATGGCGTTTCGTCGCCTACAACCAAACGTCAACAGCCCAAGCTGAAGGCATGCACAGGTCGCCCTTTCGATGCTCGTTTTCGGGAGCTACTTTCTTTCCCAGCTGGCAGCGGAATGGGTGCAATGAAGGCTAGTTCGATGGAGTGCTTTGGGTGAGAAAGCCGAAAAGTCGTCGGACGGCAAGCACACGTACGTACGTGCAGACGGAGCACTTATTATGACAGCAACACACACACCCCGGGGGAGCGCGTTGCAGTCTACGTCTCCCCCTTGCATGAACCCTGCTTGTGTGCCGTGTGATCTGACCTGTAGGATGTGCAAAAGGCATGACAGATGAGCAGCGCGTAGGGTGCAAGTTTCGTCGAGGGGCGAAGGGCAATCAAGCGTCGAAATCTTGCGGCATGTGTTTTTCGTTCCAGGAGAGGTCCGCGTAGGGATGCCGAAATGCTGTCGCAGGCGGCGTGCAGGTCGGACAGCATTGAAACTTGGCGCACAGGTTGTGTGGACAACGTTAGCGTTGGTTGTCCGAGCTTTGTGGGCGTTCTTGAGCAGGATGTGCAGTTCCTGATGCGGCAAAAACGTCGTGTGTCACGCTTGGCGGCGCAATTGGACGCGCAAGCCAGCAAAAACGGTGTTCGTTGCCTTCTTCGCTCGCCTCGCCACCGCCCTTGCCGAGACTTGTGAAGCACGCTTATTTCGTCCTAGCGCAAGCTTGGGGTTGTATCTTGCTAGGATAGGGAGAACGCCGTAGTGCAAAAATGCAAGGGGTGACCCAAGAAGCGCCTCGGCGCCTCTAAAATGGAGCGGTAGTTGGACTCTTTCGCTGCGCTGTGTGCGACGCGAGGTGAAACGCTCGGCGTGCTGACGAGGGTTCGGGTGTGCGTAGTCAGGGCCGCGAACCTCGTCGTCGTGGTGTTGTTGTGGCAATGTTGGGCTCAGACCCTCTGTTCAACCATTTTCTCCAAATACTTTTTTGTTTCACTAGAGATTTTTATCTTTACAGAGAAAATAGAATAAGGAAAGCCGTCGTTGAAGCAAATAGACATGTAGAGCGACCACTTCAGTAAAGCGAAACCAAAAATTGCAATTCTAAATAACTCATCTCTCAGAGAAGGATTACGTGCGGTACCTAAAATGAGAGCACCAAAAAGTTCCAATACCCACAAAAGATCCACTGCGGCGGAGGAGAGCAAAGAGCAGACCAACAACAAGACGTTGAAGGGATGCTGATGAAGGCGAGAGCAAGACAAAATGCTTGCGTTTGGCACGGGTGTCGCTTCGATTGACAGGGCCGTCGAGGCGTATGTCGCGTAAAGGCACCGCCGCGATTTCGTGCGCGTAGCTTTCGCGAGCTGAGAGAAATCTGCCGCGGTCAAGAAACCACTAGACTAGTGTAGAAAAAACGCCTTCTCTTTGTTTTGTAGCTTGCCGTGAGTGAGGGGCCATCCATCCGTTGTGTAGATACCAAGTGTTTGCGGCAGCGATTGAAATGTGTCCCTCACTGGCCGGAGGATAGCATCCCGTTGTTGCGTGAAACTGGTAGGAAACACTTTGTTCGGTTGCAGGAGCTGACTACGGGATTGCGGCACGATAGCTTTGTCACGTCGTGAGCTGTAACGTGGAAGCGTTATGGTAGCGTTTTCGCGCAAGGCAAGTTATTTAGCCTTTCCACAAACCGTATCATAAGGCCGCGGCAGTGACACTGGCCCCAAGACTTTGCCGACGGTAGCCTTCGCAGTTTTTTTTTGTAGTCTTCTACTCATGATGGATACAGCATACGATCGGACAAGTTGGGGTAGGGTAAGGGTTAGGGAAATAGATTCTGCCTCCCCTCTCCCTATCACATTCCTCATGAATTCTTAATCGCGCGAAGGCGGTCTTTTGCTGATCGACTCACTGATTGTTCACTCAGTGATTGTGTTCTGCATGCGAGATGTGCGCTTCTCAAGAGAACAATACCTCCCGTAATCTGTGGTCGCTCTATGAAGTGAAGCCCAGATCAAGGATGAACGTTGTAAAAATTACGTAACCCACGCAGGAACCTGCGCGAGCTCAATCCACAGGCACGCCGAAACATGGAAGACGAGATCTGTTTACCCCCTTGCTGATATTACTCCACCACCTTGCACAATGTTATCAGCGATCTCGCCGCCGACTGCTAATAATAACAAAGGACGAGACAGAACATACTAACAACGTCGCGACCTCCCTCAACCAACCAATCTAGTCACCATACTTGGCGCACATTTTGATAAGGGCGTGGTACGTGATGACGTCGGGGACAACTCCCAACCTGCGCATACTCTCCAGTAGAACTACACCTTCCTTCCACTGACCTCCTTCGGCACAAGCGTGGATGGCCGAGTTGTAGCTAACCACATTGGGCGTAAGCCCTACCGCGGCCATCTCCTTCAAAAGCGCCAGGGCCGTCCTCCACCGACCTCCTTTGGAACAAGCGTCGATTGCCAAGTTGTAGCTAACCACATTGGGGAAAACACCTACCGCGGTCATCTCTTTCAGTAGCGACAGGGCCGTCTCCAACTGACCTCCTTTGGAACAAGCGTCAATAGCTGCGGTGTAGCTAATGACATCGGGGGTGAGTCCTACTACGGCCATCTCCTTCAGTAGCGCCAGGGCCATTTTCCACTGCCCTCCTTTGGAGCAAGCGTCGATGGCCGCGTTGTAGCTAATGACATTGGGGGTAAGCCCTACCGTGGTCATCTCCATCAAAAGTGCCACGGCCTCCTTCCAATTGTCGCCTTTTGCGCACGCGTCGATGGCCGAGGTGTAGCTAATGACATTGGGGGTGAGCCCTACCGTGGTCATCTCCTTCAGTAGCACCAAGGCCGTCTCCCACTGAACTCCTCTGGAGCAAGCGTTGATGGCTGCGTTGTAGCTAATTACATTGGGCGTAAGCCCTACCGCGGTCATCTCCTTCAAAAGCGACAGGGCCGACTCCCACTGACCTCCTTTGGAACAAGCGTCGATGGCCGAAGTGTAGCTAATGACATTGGGGGTAAGCCCTACTGCAGCCATCTCGTTCAAAAGCGCCAGAGCGATCTCCCACTGGCCTCCTGTGGAACAAGCGCCGATTGCCAAGTTGTAGCAAATGACGTCGGGGGTAAGCCCTACCGCGGTCATCTCGTTCAAAAGCGACAGGGTCGACTCCCACTGACCTCCTTTGGAACAAGCGTCGATGGCCAAAGCGTAGCTAACCACATTGGGCGTAAGCCCTACCGCAGCCATCTCCTTCAGTAGCGCCAGGGCGGTCTCCCACTGACCTCCTCTGGAACAAGCGTCGATGGCCGAAGTGTAGCTAATAACATCGGGGGGAAGCCCTACCGCGACCATCTCCTTCAGTAGCGCCAGAGCCTCCTTCCATTGTTCGCCCTTAGCGCACGCGTCGATGGCCGAGCTATAGCTAATGACATTGGGGGTAAGCCCCAAGGTGGTCATCTCTTTCAGCAAGGCCAAGGCCTCCTCCCATTGCTCGCCCTTTGCGCACGCATCGATGGCCGAGCTGTAGCAAATAGTATCGGGGGTGAGCCCTACCGTGGTCATCTCGTTCAGTAGCGCCAGGGCCGTCTGCCACTGACCTCCTCTAGAACAAGCGTCAATGGTTGCGGTGTAGCTAATGACATCGGGGGTAAGCCCTACCGCGGTTATTTCCTTCAGCAGTGCCAAGGCCTTCTCCCACTGTCCTCCTTTGGAACAAGCGTGAATAACTGCGGTGTAGCCAATGACATTGGGGGTTAGCCCTACCGCGATCATCTCTTCTAGTAGCACCAGGGCTTTCTCCCACTGACCTCCTTTGGAACAAGCGCCAATCGCCGAGCTGTAGCTGATGACATCGGGGGTAAGCCCTACCGCGATCATCTCATTGAATAGCACCAGGACCTTCTCCCACTGGCCACTTCTAGAACAAGGACCGATGGCCGACTTATAGCTAACCGCATTGGGCGAAAGCCCTACCGTGGTCATCTCCTTCAGCAGCGCCACAGCCGTCTCCCACTGACCTCCTCTGGAGCAAGCGCCGATGGCCGAGTTGTAGCTAACCACATTGGGGAAAACACCTACCGCGGTCATCTCCTTCAGTAGCGACAGGGCCGTCTCCCACTGACCTCCTTTGGAACAAGCGCCGATTGCCAAGTTGTAGCTAATGACATCGGGGGTAAGCCCTACCGTGGTCATCTCCTTCAGTAGCGACAGGGCCGTCTCCCACTGACCTCCTTTGGAACAAGCGCCGATTGCCAAGTTGTAGCTAATGACATCGGGGGTAAGCCCTACCGTGGTCATCTCCTTCAGTAGCGACAGGGCCGTCTCCCACTGACCTCCTTTGGAACAAGCGCCGATTGCCAAGTTGTAGCTAATGACATCGGGGGTAAGCCCTACCGTGGTCATCTCCTTCAGTAGCGACAGGGCCGTCTCCCACTGACCTCCTTTGGAACAAGCGCCGATTGCCAAGTTGTAGCTAATGACATCGGGGGTAAGCCCTACCGTGGTCATCTCCTTCAGTAGCGACAGGGCCGTCTCCCACTGACCTCCTTTGGAACAAGCGCCGATGGCCGAAGCGTAGCTAACCACATTGGGCGTTAGCCCTACCGTGTTCATCTCATTGAGTAGCGCCAGGGCCGTCTCCCACTGACCTCCTCTGGAGCAAGCGCCGATGGCCGAGTTGTAGCTAATGACATTGGGGATAACCCCTACCGTGGTTATCTCCTTCAGTAGCATGAGGGCCGTCTTCCATTGACCTCCTCTGGAACAAGCGCCGATGGCCGAGTTGTAGCTAACGACATTGGGGATAACCCCTACCGTGGTCATCTCATTCAAGAGCACCAAGGCCGTCTTCCACTGACCTCCTCTAGAACAAGCGCCGATGGCCGAGTTGTAGCTAATGACATTGGGGGAAAGCCCTACCGCAGTTGTCTCCTTCAGTAGCACCAGGGCCTCCTTCCATTGTCCGCTCTTTGCACACGCAGCAATAGCTGCGTTGTAGCTGATGAGGTTGGGGGTTAGCCCTGCCGTTGGCATCTCTCTCAGTAGCCTCACAGCCTGTTCCCACTGCTTACCCCTCCCACACGCAGTAATGGCCATGCAGAACGATTCTTGATCAAGGAGCCCGCCAGGCAACTGCCGCATCCCATCTAGAGCTCTGAGGGCTTTTCTCCAGTCCCCGCTCCCCGAGTCACGAAGCATTGTTGTCAACTTCGTGCGAGATTTGGTGCGCCCCTCCACCACACCCTGCCTTTTCCCCACAGGTCGACTTGGCCGAGGTCTCGAATCGGGCAGGTATAGGCCGTTTCTAGCCCCGCCCTCAACCCTACTAGTGATGTTATTTGCGGCGTCCGAACCGCGTGGTAGCGCACGGAGCTCGAACAGTGTTCCTGCTTCCCGCCATCTCCGGGCAGCACACTCGTTTGTCCGCGTACGTCGATACAGACGGGAGGCCCGCGAGGTCCCTCTCGGGGTACCACAGGCCTCACGCAAGGGTACTGCATCATGCGAACGGCACCCATGCGAAACATGAATATCTAATACGGGGGCACACGGCAAAGCAAGCAAACGGAATTGCACGTCAGCGGTGGCTACCACGCTTCAAACACGAAGTGCACAACCAGAGAACATGGTAATAGGCACCAGATTCACATTGAAAAACAACCTCGCATACCCCGTGCAACGACTCCAAGCGAAGCGCATATAGAGTACGACATGCACAGAGGCAATGCAAGCGAAGAATGCGGCCTGGTCGACGGGGAAATACGTACACTAGGGTGAGCACGTACGCTCGCACATGAAGGCTCCTCAAAAACACCTGAGTTACAGTAGTGGCACAGCAGTTTAGAAAATGATCATTCGCCTTCAACGCTCTCGGTACCAAGACCATTTTTGCCAGAGGCACGCTGGCTCGGGGGGAGAGGTTGGGACGGAGTCAGAGGCGTGCGAGTGGATGAAACGAACACACGTATTGCTGAGAACGACATCAACCTCCCGGAACAAGTACGATAGGCCACACAAAAGCTAAACAAATAATAATGTTGCCTTTGTGATCCAGAGTCTGAATACTACGATGGGTGTATGGGGCCAGCCCCAGCAAGTGATTTGTTGGCCGTGCCCATGGCTTTGGATACATTCAATTCGAGTGCACGTGCACATCATAGATAAAGGGAGCAGCGCCTGATGGAAAAACACTGGCGACCCTGTTGGCGCCGCTGGCATGCATGCACCGCAAACGTATATCCCGCGCAACACACTCGGGTCAACAACAGCATTGCAAGACCATGACTCATGTTGTGCGGCGAGTTGAACAAGTGGGTGATTCGGCACATTCAGACACAGTTCGTCAGGATCCTTTCCGTCGGGGCACAAAGCAGACATTGAAAATTTCTAAAGCCGCCGCAGTGGTGGTGCCTTCTCGTCCGACTTCATAAGGCAGCATCTGCAGACACGCAGAACCCCGAAGCTACCCAATAAGGGTTATCACGAATCCTCCAAGCATGGACGGCTTTTACAGTCGTCAGATGACACTATAGTGAGAAACGGAAAGCATCCCAAGTTCCTCTGCACAATGGAACGTCTACAAATCAAGCAGAAACTTGAGCCAAAACATCGAGAGGGAACAGTGTCAAAACTCTCTCCGCCTCCCCCCTCCTCCCCTCCCCGGGGGAGGCCGAGGCCCGCAAGTGCAGTTAACCCTCGAAAAAAACACCCAACAACGACGGATATACGGTCCCTAGCACCGTGTAGGAGAGGATCCTGAGTTTGGCGGTCGGGAGTTACCGCGGTCACGAGATCGAGGTAGGTCGTGATAAGCCAACTTGGAGACAGCTGCCGATGGGTTTGAACCCAAATGCCCCGGTTTGGACACCGGGGCAAGGCAGCGGTGGAGAGCACGGAGAGGGTGGCGGGATGATCGCACACCGTGTGGGTAAGCACCCAACAGGGGGACGGAAAGGGTCCAGAGCTGGAGAGCCACGCCGCTCCGGGACAGGAAGACACCTCGCTGGGAAAGGCAAGCACCGGGTTAACTC